ATAGAAAGAGAATTGAAAATGGAATCACTTCTATACTTTTTTTCTAAAATAAGGGTCTGTCTATATTGCCTAGGCTGGCCTTGAACTCCTGGGCTAAAGCAATCCTCCAAGCCTCCCAAGTATCAGGGACTACAGGTGTGCACCACCACCCCAGCCCCACTTCTACACTTAAATGAGTCTTTAATCCCTGGCCTTTGATCACAGGAGTTCTAGCCCATATTTTGAAAACTGATGGGATGGAAAGCATGCAGAGCACACAAAGAGACTGGGGTTGAGCCCCATTTGCCAGCACCTCAATGTGTTTTGTTTGACAAGTCATTTTTCTATCCACCAGACACCCACCCAATTCCCAGTGTGTCATTTTTCTTATTTGTAAAATGAGAAAGCTGAACATTTTACTCTCAAAGAGTTTGTGATTTTTCATAGTATCCCTCTACCATTCTTTACCTCCCAAACATTCATTCATTCAAAACAGAATGTGTGGAGTCCATACCATGAGCAAAGCCATGGGACTAAGGCCATGAAGAAGCCATCCATGCTTCACCAAGTTTACGACCTTTCTTTCTCCCTTAGCACTATTTTTCTATTTAAACTACAGTGAGTTGAATATTCATCTTATTTATTTCAAAAGACTTAAGAAAACTAAAGATAAGTGCGGCTTAAAGTATACTTAAATCCAGGACTGTCTTTCTTTTTAATTCTTTATTCAATCATAACTGTGTACATTAATGCATTTATGAGATACTATGTGCTGATTTGATATACAATGTGGAATGCTTACATCTAACTGATTAACAGAACCATCTCCTCGCTTACTTATTTATTGTGGTAAGACATTTATACTCTGTTCTTAATAGTTTAGAAATGTATCATTGCATTATGTACATTAGGTTAGATCCCCCCCCCCTTCCCCCAACTCAAGCTGTACCGCACAGCCACAGGGCCGTGCAGTGGCAGTTTCCCAGAAACCCACTAGAGGGCGCGCGCAATTTTTGGTTCCCAAAGAAAGCGCTTAGTGTGGGTATTACCCGTGAAGTTTGGAGTTGGCTTCTCCTTTCCCCACTTTCCATTCAATGTGGGGCAAGTGTGGTGAGCCCTGGGGTCCTCTCACTTCCCCCAACCCATCCTTACCCCCATGCAGTGCCTTCTCCCCTTCCACAATGAAGAATTATTCTTTTCACATAACCAGAACTGTTTCGTTTCTGTTTCCAGCATTTGTCCTTTTGACATTTTAGAAGAAATAAGATCCAAGTTTGATGTGGAAAAGAAAGCATTGATTTCTTTTCTCTTCCCTGTTACTGTTTTCTCTAGCTGTGGGGAAAACAGTCCTTTAAGAAGTTAGAGCCCTTCCTTTGAGCTAAAGAAGATATGCCTGGGGAATAACAGATTTGCCCGGGCTCCTTCTGAGCAGATCTTTTGCAGCTGACATTAGCCCTCTTGCCCTGCAGTGTGTTGAGCTTTTGAGGGCCAGTCTTTTCCTCTGAGTTTCATATTCTGAGTTGACAAGCTTTTGACCTCAAACATTGGAGAATACACTCCCAGGCCAACCCTCCCCACAAACCATGATCCAAGGGAAACATCCAAAAGTTTCCCCAACTTCTTTGCCTGGTGGGTTGCCCTAGAACAGTGGTTCTCAACCTTCCTAATGCCACAGCCCTTTAATACAATTCGTGTGGGTCGCAATAGAACCACTGCCCTAGAACCTTAGGCATCACCCCTTATTTGATTCCAAAGTTGCCTTATCACCAAACATCCATTCTGGGAGCTTTTCTTGGGACTCAGCTAGACATTAATGAAATAAATTGTCAATATGCCCTATTTTACATGAATATAAAATTACTTTTTGGATGAGCTCCTCTCCAGTTGACACAGGAAAAATGGGAACGTGGTTTGAGCAAAAAGGAGAAAGGACAGGGCTTTGCCCACCCCACACCCCTTTCTATGAACCTCAGTCAGCCCACCCTGTAAGGAAATGAACAACTTTTGTTTTTTTTAATGAAAGTGTCAGAAGTGTGCTTTATGCAAATACACTACTCAAGAAGGCTTTAGGGGAAGAGTTATTTATATCCCACAGGCATTACACATGCAAAAGGTGAAACTGTGAATGTCTGGATTTCCAGGAGTGGATGTTCTCAGGATGAGCACATCTTGCAGTTAGCTATTTTGGTGACACATATTTCCCATATCCCACTGTCAGATTTTTCCAGGCGAGAGACGACAAAATCATTCATTAATTTTCGAGTGCCCTTGGATGTTTATTTCCAACGGGACTTCATGACCTGAACTTATTCTGGGCATTAGATTTACTACGACCTTGACTCTCTAGTAATAGGTGCCTTTGTTTCTTTTTCTCTTAAATAGGTACAGAACTCAGTCATTAAAAAGTAATCCTGTGGCACATTTATTGCCCTTTCATTTTCATATTGACTCCTGGAACTGGCAAAGAAAATGGCCATTTCTCTAGAAATTATTGCCCTGCTCTGTTGTGGGCTCCCCAGAAATATAGACCGTTCTCCAAATTGAAATGTACATTAATCACTTCAGGAAATTGCTTCCCCCATTGGAAACTGATAGCTCTCATCAGAATGTTTCCATGGCACAGCTGATGACAATTATGATTCACTGAAATTTCAGTTTTCTTTGATTGTGACATAAAAACTGGGACATAAATTAAAACCTAATTATCCTTTAAGGGTAATTGGGGTTATAAAACTTAGAGACTGAGTCAGTGTGCTGGTATCACAGGAGTGCAGCGCCTGGTGGAATGGTATGTGTTCTGTCCCCAAAGCAGCCTTTCATATGAAATGGTTTTGGACAAAGTAATCTGTGCACCCGGGCATGCCAAGAGAGTGCCTCGGACTGAGCGAGCGACTTGGAGAAATATAGTTAGCTCTTAGGACATTTCATAACAATTAAAATAGGTTAAAACTGCGATGGGGATGGAGTAGGACAAAGTCCTACCTTCACCCAGGAAGGTGTCCAGTGGTGGAACGAGGAATTCGTACCAAGACTCCATCTAGTACCTGACTCTCCAGTTTTGGAAGAGAAGCTTCTTTCTCATCTGGGAGACAGGTGAGATCAACTCTTTGGTTCCATACAACTTGCGTCATTGACGTCCCTTAGAGGAGTGTGTACTTTGTTTTTCAAAGAAGTATGACCTGTAAAAGCTGCAGGGGGAAAAAAAGATTTTTTGGTAAATCAAGTCATAAATCAAGTGAGCAAGATAGTTTGTTAGAGGAAACCATGGATTATTCTTGAATGCGGGGTGACCCACACATGTGCAGATGCCCACAGGGCCAGTTCTTTTTATACCCTTCAGGTCAAATCTCAGCCGCTGAAACTCCCCAACCGTGCACCCCAAAGCTTCCCCTGGCCCAGTCTGTCTCCCTGTTCTAGATTTTCAAAAGGGTTTCACTTCCATGTCTTCTCAAAGACTTTGTTGCGCCCTCCCACTGCTCACTCTTCGCATTTTTAAAAGAGCACATCCCCAGATATGACAGTGACATTCTTCCTCACTGTCTCTGCTGCTCCGCTAAAAGGCCCTGGCTGAGGGGAGGGGGTGGATTGTCTTACTCCTCTTTGCTTCTCTAGGGATGTAGGTGTTGGGCACATAGTGGAGCTCATGAAATGATGCTGACTAGAGTGCACCACTGAGACCACACAACCCCAGACTTATTCCTGGAAGGCAGACATTACTATGATGTATTAACCCCACAGAAGACTTGACCACACCCAACCCCCTTTCAACACCAAACAGGTTTTCTTCTGTTTCACCTCTACAAATTCCAGGCCATAAGGTATCATAAAGAAGAGCCAGAAGAGGGTTCCCAGCAGACCGCTACTTTAAGTTTGTGCATCAGTCCCCTGAGAATCACGAGGAAAAAAAAAAAAAAAAAAAAAGCAAGGACCAGGTTATTTCCACCATTCCTGGGAAAGCAAACTTGGAGAGAGATCTAGGGAAAGTGGTATATCTGCTCCGGGCTCTTGCAACCTTATTTCATAATCCACTTTCTTATCTACCGCTCCACAAAACCAAAGAGAAATAGGTACAAATTATATCAACAAAAGATCAGAACTTAATTCTCAATGGGAAAGGCAAGTGTACATTATAAATAGCAAAACAGCTGGCTTGGACCATGTTGCCGGCCACTCACCCAGCTGAGGGATTTGAATGACATCACAACCCTCGAGAGGGTATTGCTAGCCAGCTGGTGTTATTTAGAATACACACAAATTAGAAAAAGAAAACACACTCTCTCTCACAAACACACACGTGAAAACACACACACGCACAGGTTCAAGTTTTGCAGAAAAATACAAACAAAGGGAAAATAGTTGGCCCCTCAGATGCCCTTCCCCAAGGGGGGATGGGAGTGGGGGATGGTGATAGGTAGCCCAGTAGAAGAACGAAGAAGAAAGATTTTATTTTTCAATTGGTTTTACAGCTCAGCATAGTCTTTGCCTCCTCGCAGGCAAAGAAGTATGAGACAGTGTCCTGACAGGAGCCTGTACAATACTGCCTGCCCTTTCTGTAGGTTCTAGGAAATGACATCACTCCCCTCACTCAGCAACTAGGGCAAGGGGTCACCCGGGCACTGTCTTCCGATCCACTTTACCCCAGTCACTTTAGGGTTAAAATTGTCGGGTTTGTGGGAAATGCTCTTTTCTTCCTTGCTTCTTCTTTTTTTTTATTTTACATTTTCTCTAGAATGTATGATTGCCCACCCATCCCCCATGTGTATTACTTTTATCCTGGTAAGGTGTATTAGCAGGCATGTGTGTCTTTATGCCCAGGAGAAAGTTAATCAGGGAACAGATCCTTATTTTCTGTGGCAGCATAAGTATTTTAATGTCTCCTAACCCTGTCACTAACACACATTCTTTTAAGGGAAAAAAATGCTTCTGTGCTCTAGTTTTAAAATGCAAAGGTATGATGTTATTTGTCACCATGCCCAAAAAAGTCCTTACTCGATAACTTTGCCAGAAGAGGGAGAGAGAGAGAAGGCAAATGTTCCCCCAGCTGTTTCCTGTCTACAGTGTCTGTGTTTTGTAGATAAATGTGAGGATTTTCTCTAAATCCCTCTTCTGTTTGCTAAATCTCACTGTCACTGCTAAATTCAGAGCAGATAGAGCCTGCGCAATGGAATAAAGTCCTCAAAATTGAAATGTGACATTGCTCTCAACATCTCCCATCTCTCTGGATTTCTTTTTGCTTCATTATTCCTGCTAACCAATTCATTTCCAGACTTTGTACTTCAGAAGCAATGGGAAAAATCAGCAGTCTTCCAACCCAATTATTTAAGTGCTGCTTGTGTGATTTCTTGAAGGTAAATATTTCTTACTCTTTGAAGTCATTGGGGAATTTTATTTAAACTGTGTACTGTTTGCTTCTGTCTGAACTGTTATTCACTTTAAATTTTTCATTGTTTCGGCACTGGGAGTTATTTATAAATTGCTGAATATGCAGTTCTGTGGGATCTAAAAAACATATCTGGGGAGAAGGATGCATTTGCACAGATATCTGTCTGAGTAGAAACTGTTGCAAGGTACTTATGCTAAATCCTCCACTTCTGCAGGGCTTCCGTGGTGTTATTATAGAAGATTCCTTTAAATCCTGTCTATGGCTAAAGGATATAGAGCATGCATATGAACTTGGGGATATTTTTTTCCTTTTGCAGGTGCAGATGTTTTATTTTTGAGACCATGTTCATGTGCATGAGTGTGTGTGTGTGTCCGTGTGTGTGTAACTTGTCAGGATTTTATTTATAAGGCATGCCCCATACGAAGAGTTACATTTTAGACGATATTAAAGCTTTTAAATATGATCTTTGGAGCTAAGGTCCTGGAACCCTGTGCTTATGCCCAGAGAGTTAGAGTGAAGTTTAATCTGTTCTTCCAAAAAAGAACTTCTTGACAATTCCTGCTGACCTGCATATTCGAGTAATTTAAACAAATGCATACTGTATAGGGAAAGCAGAAACTTTCTAGCAGCTGCTTGCCCAACTTTTCTCTTTTGAAGAGGGCTTTCACGGGCGAAGTTTGGACTGAGGGTTTTGTGTTGTAAAACTCTGGTTTTATACCCTGGGTTGTAAAGCCTCCTTAGGTAAATTTGGCTGCTGTTGTCAATGCACCGACTTCTGTTTCCGATCACTGGCTCAAGTTCTAGTTTCCGTTCTCAGCAGAATTATATCCTTGAAGACTTTTGTGTTTCTTTCAATTTGCACACACTTTTAAGCCACTGTCACTGGCTCCAGGGATGCAATTGCCCGAGGGCTCTCAATTCATAAACCGTCTCCAGTCTCAGCCACTTAGGGCAGCATTCATTTCGCTGCTTTCAAACACTTCTGTGCTAGGACTTTTCTTAGTCAAGGAAGTGGCTTAGGAGTTAAGGAGAGCCCCTTGTCAGGCACCTGAGGCTGCTGTTTCTGAGATGCCAACACATGCTGGCCGCCTTGCTTTAAAAGAGATGATGTCAGTATGCGTATGTGTACTGTGTGGTCTGGCAGCTGGGGTTTTTGTCTCCCGACTTAGATAATCATAAAAGAGACTGTGGAGTATTATTTCTGCATTAATTACAGGTTTAGAAAATTGTCTCCTCATTCACTTTTCATGCTGTGTGTGTATGCTGAACACTTCGGAAGTGGAGCTAGTACTAAGTTGGTACTTTCTCCTGGCTTCAATCAGGATGAGTGGAGGGAGCTGTGTGGTCTTTCAAATGTACCAGCAAATAAAGGTGTCCTGCCTAGAGGCAGAACTCCCAACCTGCTTGTACTTTGAGTCTCAAGGTATTTCCAAGAGAGTGGGGGGTGGAGAAACAGAGAAAAGGAGCCCACTAGTGCTTGGGTCACTCTTCTGGGCAGCTTTAATAGGCACACAATGGAAGTTAGTGGTTTCATTGGTGGGGGGGGGGAAGCTTGATTTAAATCCCAGCTGTGCAATTTGTTCATTGTTTGAATGGACAAAAGGCAGTTTACCAAGGCTCATAGAATACCTGCCTGGGTGTCCAAATGTAACTAGATGCTTTCACAAACCCCACCCACAAAGGAGCACATGTTTTTAAGTCCTCAGTGTTCCATCCACATCAGCCTCATAATACCCACCCTGACCTGCCGTAAAAGACCTGGAACAAACAAAAATGATTACACCTACAGTGAGTATTTTCTTATGACTCCTGCCCTCAAATTTTACTGGGCATTTTCATTGTAGCCCAGACATCTGGAATCAATTGATATTCCATTTATTTAAGATAAAAAGCAAGGTCTTTTAAAATTGGGATTTGTGAATGATTTTTATGGAAGTGTTCTGAATTTTTTTTTCCTCTTTTCTCTTTCTGATTCTTCCTTCTTTTCTATCACATCTTTCCTTTCTCTGTGTTCATTTCTTTTGTGTTTGGCAAAATGAAAGGCCAAGGAAATGATGAGCATATGGGGCCACTTGTTTCACACTTTTAACTCCTAAGCAAGTTTGTTATTGTTTTCTTTTGGGGGAACATAATGTGATAAATTCTCTGGTTCTCTGTGGGCGTACTGGACTGTTCCCTAATCTAAAGGGAAATGTGCTAGAGGTTCTATCTTGTCCTAGAACTATAAGTACTGGTATTTATCTGACATCTAACTCAGAAAAGAGAGAAAAAGAGAAGAAAAAGAAAAACCTATTTAAAAATTTTGAAGTTCTTAAATGCTAGTGTTGTATATGTATTGCTGGACTTAAATGTATGATACCAGGAATAACTATTAAAAATGTAGTTTTGACATCCAATGACATTTGAATTCATTAAGGCTATAAGTGGAGCACCACCCCCCAACCCTTGCCAGATTTCACAAAAACTGAAGAACTTAAAGGCATCTATAATGGCAGGTGCTTAGTCCTCAGCAATACTGTAAACTCAACAAAGAAGGGAGGGGTGAAGAAATAGGATTGTTGAATATTATGTTTTCCAGAACTGGCCCATTGCCAGAGTGTACGGGTGTGATGTGTAAGATCAATTATGGGTTTATTCTTTTGAAAAGGGCCATGAAGTCCAGTTGGGTTGGATTTGTTGAGGTTTCCACTGGAAATATTAAAAGGGGAAACTCCCTGCTACTTCTTTTATAACTAAGAAAAATGAGGACTGGATGATAACTTGCTGCTAGCTGTCCCAATGTCTTTGGCTGTGTGGGGATGGAAGGTTTCCATGCAGAGGTCCTCTTGAGAATATGCAAAAAATGTTCAGTTGAGCTTTTACCTCTTCTGTTTTATGTCCATTATTTATGATGATTTGCAAATAGAGGGTGCTTTTCATGTTCAGCTGTTTTACAAGCATTAACTAAATATTTACGTTGTGTTAACGAGAGTCAGGGGTTTGGTCCCCGCCCCCCCCCCCCAATTGCTGGGCTGAAAGTCTGGCCTCCACAATGGAAATCTTAATTAGAATGATGGAAGAAACTTCTGCCACTGATGCTAAGCCATTATGTTGAGAGTTCAGGGAGGGCAAGGAGGGTGGTCAGACAATAAACAACTGAGTCTATTTCTCCAAAAGGGATGAGGTTGAATGGACCTGCCACCACTGGGAGGGTCAAAAGAACCTCTTTTTATAATTATAGCTCCCAGCATAACTCCATGACCCTTTTAATAGGGTCCCTCACGTAACATCCTGTCGGTGGCCCTTCCAATGCTGCTGAAAGATACAGCTGAAAGAGGTGAAGCTACTCACCTTGGGAGGCTTCCTAGAAGAAACCACATCTTTGTGCCATAAGTAGCAATATGAAAAAACTTAATGACCACCTAAGCATGTTGCTTCTACTACTTGGAGTGAGGACGGAGACTTGAGCCACAGGAATCCTGCTTTGGCAAGGCTGCCATTTGGCTGTCTATTGTGACTAAGTCATGCCAACCAGGGGTCCCTCGGTGCAAAATGGATAGAGTGACACATAAGTCCCTTCAGTCCAGGAGATGAAGTCAGAATTCCTGTGACTACTTAAGAAAAAAAAAAAAAAGGCTTTTGTAGGTTTTCAGCCCAGTGCCTTGTACAACGGAGGGACTCTGCGTACATGTGTTGATTTGATATTGGACTTCAGGCAAGGGGATTTAGAATGCAGGAGTAGTATCTACTTAGCATGAGCCAATTTCATTCCTAATTTCTCACATTTGTTCTTGTTCCCGGTTTTTACCTTCCATTTGTGGTTGTGTCAACTGCTGATATACCCCAAGTAAGAAATCTCTCTCTCTCTCTCTCTTTCATTAAATGAAAAAAAAAAGCCTATAAGGATACATAGTATTTTTACAAGTCTTTTTTTTTTTTTTTCTTTTTTGGCTGCAGTATATTCTTTTTAGTCAGCAGCCAGGAAATGATGTTCTGGTTAATTTAATATTCTGGTCAATAATGAATGCATATGCCATCTGTGACTAGTCGATTTTTTTTTCTTAGAGAATTTAAATTAAAAAAACTTACTTGGCACCAAATCTGTACTGAGCCCAGTTTAACCTTTGATAATTTGAAAGTATCACCTGGATCTCAGAGTGGTATGCACTATCCTTATAGCATCCTTTGTATACATAGCCAATGTTTTGAGATATTTTATCTTATTTAATTAAAACAGAACCCATAAAGAAGGGCTTCAGGGAGGACTTCTCCAAGGGTCCACAGCAGCAAGGGGATTAAATACAGGTTGTTTGATGCCAAGATGCGTTCAATACACGCCTCCCCCCTCCCCTGGGCTCTCGTGCACTTTGTTGCTGTTCTGCTGTTCTGTGCCAGGTAGTTCTGGTAAATGATAGTAAGGGAACTCTAGGGGTTAAATGCACCCCATCTCACCCCCATGCCCCTTGCAAGGATCAAGGGGAAAGCTGACCCTCTTCTGTTTTTCCAACAGGCAAAGATGCACATCACGTCCTCCTCGCATCTCCTCTACCTGGCCCTGTGCTTACTCACCTTCACCAGCTCCACCGCAGCTGGACCCGAGACGCTGTGCGGGGCTGAGCTGGTGGACGCTCTGCAGTTTGTGTGCGGAGACAGGGGCTTTTATTTCAGTAAGTAGCCCTCCCTCTCACTGCGCTGCTATAGCCTGAAGTATATGGCTCTGTGGATTTACAACCGCAGGGAGTGTGTGAATAACTGAATGACTGCCCGTGGCTGGCAGCCGTCCTAGGCCTCCAAGATTCCTCACCTTAAAGTAAGCATAGCGTTTCAGTGGAGCTTTGGCAGGGTTTGCAGATTTAGGATGGAATTTTCCTCCTTAACAGTTGGTCTTTAACTACTTCCTGCTGAGCCTCCCTTCAACTATTATGATCTACCCTCTCTATGCCACTCCTTTCAATGAAAGGATGGGACAAAATGACCCTAGGGTTTTGGGTTTTTGTTTTCAAGACCTTTGAGTGCACACATAAACATATGGAAAACATGTAAGGCTGTTTTTAATACTATGTATTTTGGAATAAAATAATAGGAACTCTCCAGTCCTGTGGGATTGGGAAAGAATTAAGGGGGTACACCCCAGTTGTCCCCATGCGATGTGAAATCACCATGAACAGACAGGCAGAAGGTGAACTTCACTCCAGGTCATGTTTGGAGAGACACAGACTCTAAATGCAAACCGAAATGCTGCACTAACTTGCCCTCTGTGTGAATTGACCTTGATTTTTTTTGTTGTTGTTATTGCTCTCTTTTGGCATAGTTATTCTCTTTAGTTGTATGTCCATCTGGAGAAGAGTTTCTGACAAGCTCAGGGTCACTTATGGCATAAGTAGGTCTTAGGCAATTAGAAAGTTGACAGCCAAGTCAAGGTCTGCAAATAATAAACATAAACAAAATCAATGGTACCTGAGGGAACTGATCACTTAAAGGTGCCTCACAGGCATCTATCTCATTGTATGTTATAGGACCGTGACAGATTTAAAGCCAGATGCTCATTCTGTATAATTCTTTGGAATTTTAGAGAGTTCCAGGAAACTGAGGATGAATCATTCTTAAAGGTTCCTATCATTCAAGTGTAGACAGCTTACCTCAGTTACCCACTAAGCTCTGAATAGCTCCTGTGATGACTCACACATTGGAAGTCTCTCTCATCTTCTTCCCAAATGTCGGCCTTTCTCTAGGCAGATTGTGTGTGTGTGCGTGTGTGTCTGTTAGTATATGACTGGGGAGGGGCAAGGGCGTTCTCTGTATACCAGTCTGGAGATGAATAGGGTAGGAAGGAAGACTTTGTGGGGGTGATCCTGCAATGGATCTGGCAACAAATAGTTTTTAAATCACTAGTGACAATCAGAAGTGAATTCTCCTATTTGATAGTCAAATGCCTATGCTCTGCTTCCAGTCAGTGCTTTAATTGAGGAAATTCATTTATTTTTCTGGCAATAAAGCAATTCTATCCAGTTCTCTGTTGCAAGGCAGATAAACGAGCACATCAGGTGGGTGCTTTTCCAATAAATAGTACACTTGTTTTCCCTTTAAAACCTCCTGTGGACAGTAACTGCATGACATCGCATGACCCAACAGTGGGTTGTAATTATTCTATAATTTGCTGCTACTGATCCATGTTTTTTAAAAAAATAAAAGAGTTGTTCTCACTTATTATTATGCCCAAGAGGATTTTTTTTTCTTTTTTGCCTCGATAATCCACTGTGCAATTTCCTTTGATCCAGTTCACTAGGTAATTGCCAAGCCTACGAGTGTTCTCTGTAATGTGCCAGGCTGAATTGTGATGTTCAGCATGACATGCCTCAGCATTTCCATGCTCTGTGCATAGAAACTGGATCCTTCCTTGTGTGCAGTATTTGCATTAGATAATGAAAAAAAGACAGAAGGAATGATTTGGTCCCAAGTTGCTGTATGATACTTGTGTATGTTCATGCAGACACTTAAGAGAATTGGACAACTATGATGGGACTTTTATTCTGTTACTATAATCTTAAAATTTTAGCCAATTTTTAGAAATTCCATTTTAATAAACTTGAAGGGAAAAATTATATATAGCAACTCTTGATGTTTAGGTGGAGTGGTTTTATAAACCACATGTTACAGTCAGTATTGTCATTGAGAGTACGTTTCATACATTCTGCCTTATAGAATTCCATGGCTTATGTTAATCGTAAGTCTGACACAGATTCTCCTGCACAAGTGTTCTTGTTAACTTTCCAACCAATTGGACCATATCCTTTCCTGAAAAGAAGTTAACTCCTTTGAATTCTTTTAATTCACAATGTTGATGGAGTACCTGTTATGTATGATGCACAATGCCTAGAAATGAATGAGTGATTGACTTTCCCTTGAAGGAGCTCACAGTTAAGTGGTTAAAAAAAATACACATAAATATTGTCAAAAGTCATAAGAGAAAAATAACCATGGAGTATAGATTATAGCCTTTATGCTTTTCCTGACTATTGTGTCTCATTTGTGACATTATCTTATCAGGTTCCACACTCCCATGAATAATTCCTCTCGATCCTTGATGCCAAAGCATGTTTACTTACCCCTGAATCCTAGTGTCTAGCTCAATGGTTAATATAGTAGTGCTCATATTTGATTGTTGAACTGACAAGATTGAATTGAACTGAATCCAGTTACATTCGATTGAATTGAATGCTTGTTTGGGATCTTATTCTTGAGAACCATGAAGAATTAGGGTGGTCAAGTGCTATGGACAATGCTTCTTGCCTTGAGTTTACCCAGTTATGTGATAAAACTGTTTTTCTTTTTTTCAACTGAATGTAACAGATACTAACAATGACTTAGAAGCTGCATTTTGGTTATCCCCAAGCTACACTGATGACCTGTTTTGTGTCTGAGCCAATTATTCTTGCAGCATTAACTGTTGTCGACAAATTTTATTGCGTTCCTTTTTTGTCCTCTGAGATTTACTGTGTATGGAGAAGTCAGCTTTAAGTATTTAAAGTCTTTGAAATACTTTTCAGAGGGAAACCTTTTTCCCCACCTCTATCCTCTGTCATTTCCCTCTTACTATTGTTTTACCCTTAGTTTCAAAGTTTTAGTGTGGCTGTGCCTTTTATTTTAAGCTGCTTCAATTTCATCTTGGAGAGTAGTTTCTGATCTTAGTTTTAATCTCAAACATCTTTAAAAACTGCCTCTCTCTGTCAACAAAGAATATTTAACAAAGAGAGTTTTTTAATTCTATTAGAATTTTTCCAAATAAAAATTACTTCATTGCTTATTTTGTGTGGATTGACTCAATGTTGTGAATGAGCTCCTCTTTCCTTTCGAGCCCAAATTCTACCAGGGCACAGTGGAAGCAACCTTTCCTAGATTATCTGTTTCACAAACATCTTCTCAGCATAAGTGGAACAGTTCAAGTATAATTAATGCAGCTTCCTCAGACATCTTATGAAATAAAAGCTTCAGTGAAGAGCTAATTACTGATTCTTCCCTATACATCAGAGTAAGAGAGTCTATCAAGCAGCCTTGTGCTCTCATTATCCTGGGAGGAAAATGGTGGCATAGTAGAGGTGAAAGCCCATCAAGGAAAAAGCCAGCTATTATCCCAGCAGATCGATGGAGCCCTCCTTTAGGGTAGCTCCTTATAACCTTGCTTTGCATGAAACACAGCAAGAGGAAAAGAGCTTCAGGTGAAAGAGAAGTTAAGCTTGCCATAGATATAATTTTTGACAACCATGGTGATTAACCATTTTAAAACATGCTTTTATGTGGAATTTCTCTCCTTGGAGATACTTTAAAAGTTGACGGACAACCAACCATCTTGGATGGTTTCAATTAAGAACAACCCAAAGAAAGAGAGTTTCTGAGGTCTTTTTTAGTTTTAATAGTGTATACACAGTCCCTTAAATAAACTGTATATGCTTTACCTCAGCGATCTGGGGAAAAGGAGAAGTAAATCAATTAGAAAAGAAAGTTGGATGCCCTTTCAGCTAGTCCAGATTTATAGCTTTTGTAAAACATACTTCTAATGTATAGTTATTAAGAACAGGTCTGGATAAACAAATGGCATTCTTCATGTGTTAAAATGTGCTGTTTTGTAAAGAGTTGAAGTGAAATTTTGCAATTAACTTTCATTGTTATTGATCACAACAACCTTCCTAGATCTAAGGTATTATTATTAAGCTTCTTTCGTTTGATATATAATGCTCAGAAAACTGCTCCCAGACCTGTCATTCATTAGCTGTATGACTTTGCCAGACATTTAAACTTCCTGGGCTGAAATGTCCTTGTCTATAAAACAAGGGGATTTTGTTAAAGTAAATGACCTCTTCTAAGTTTAACAGACTTGTAGTCTAGGTTATAATTAACAAGGCTTTGGTACTATTGAAGAAAGGAGAACCTTGGACTTAAGTAGTGACCAAAGAACATTTAGTCTCCTTTATCTTATTTACATAGTTTCTCTTGGTCCCCAAAGATAGGAGATTCCACCCACTTAAAGAAAGAGGAGCCAGCTCCTCTGTTTTGTTTTGTTTAAAGCTGGATTTCAACTCCTCAGGGATGGCTAGAAGCTCAGATACGACCAAACACATGCAGGTCATTTGGACGAAAGGAACCAAAGGAGCACACGCCTTGTGCAAATGGACCATCATTTTTTTTGTTTGTTTTTTGGCTAGGAAGGGCCAGCTGACAGTTCTCATCTTTACATTTTCTAATTGTCTTGGCTGTGAGGACAAGTGAACAGGTTTGCTCTTAGTTGCCCTAAATAAAGGAGGGTAAATTCAAGTTGACAAATAAGAATGTAGAGTTTCTAAACCTTCACCAAAAGCCTTCTTTCAGTCTGTTCATACTAGCCAATATTTTCTTTTTCTTTTCTTTTTTTTATTTTGAGCCAGAGTCTCACTTTGTCACCCCCAATAGAGTGCTATGGCATCACAGCTCACAGTAACCTCAAACTCTTGGGCTTAGGCGATTCTCTTGCCTCAGCCTCCCAAGTAGCCGGGACTACCGGTGCCCACCACAACTCCCAGCTAGTTTTTTGTTGTTGTTGTTGTTGTCATTGTTGTTTAGTAAGCCCGGACTGGGTTCAAACCCGCCAGCCCCAGTATATGTGGCCAGCGCCCTTACCACTGAGCTACAGGTG